CGGAATCAGAAGGATCCTCGAGCCAACCCCAGTGCCTTTCTATGAGACTTTAGATCCTTCTGACTGCTCTTCTGTTCTACCTAAGCTTTCTCGTCCTCCCTTAGGGAAATTCAAGGGTCACCTTTTTTATTTGAGAAAAAGGCCCTTTGCCATTCCTTGAAGATGAATAGCCAGGCTTTCTGCCTTAAGATGTTTTAGTGGGAGCAAGCTTATAAGGAATAAAGAAAAACTTCCTCACTCGCTCTGAGTGGATATGGGAAGCTCCTGGGAATGCATGAGATGGGATGGGGGGCTGGAGTTATTCCTGGCTGTCTCCCCTTTTCTCCCTTCCCATGCTAGACCACCACAACACATTGTGGCCTGGCTCCAAAAGGAAATCAGGGACAGAGCCAGGGAGAAAACCATGAAGAACTTTCTTTTAATAAGCAGGACCCAGTTTGGAGAAGTTATAAAAATAAAAGCCATTTATATTCCATATTCAAGGAGCAACTTAAATGTCTTATCTTCTCTTGCCAGTTGAGAGGCTCCACTGCCTATGCAGACCTTGTGACCTAAGGAGAATCTTTATAATTCTGTAGGGAAGTCCATCTTACAGATGATTTTTACAAATCCCCAAGTGGCAAAGCCAATCAGAGGAAGAAACATTAAAAAAAAGACCATATTTCTTTGTTTTGTTTTGTTTTTTTTCCGTATAAAAAAAGGATCCCTGTATCAAGGTAGGGAAGGGGAGAATAAGGGACATGCATACCCCTTGCTATAAGGAAGTAGGGGGGCAGGAGAAAGATAAGCCTCAAAAGAAGAGGAGAGGGGAATGTCATTAAGGCAGCAAGATATTCTCTGTAAAAAGTTGGAGGCAGCATCTCGACAGCCTCAGTGATTAAAAGGCACAGAGTGCCTGCTTTCTCAGTGGGGGCTCTCCATTCAAGTGTTCAAAGGGGGGCAAATGACAGCTTCTCTTCTCTTGGTTCTGTTGCACCCACTCTGTTGCTCACTCTGGGTTACCTTCTGCCTTTTGTAGATAAGGATGCTGCAGGGCTCGGAAGGCAGAGATTCGCTTGTGTGGGTTAAAAGTCAGCATCTCCTGAGAAAGGAGACAAAGGTCAGAAAATCATGAAGATAAACATGACTTTTGCTCACTCCCAATAATACCAAGGAATGGCTATGTTCTACATCCCTCTTTGTAGATGGCCATTTGTAGCAGCAATAAAGACTAGCCAATCCACTGAGTCTCAGGAACCATGATGGTTTGGGTCCCTTTTCTACTGCTCCATTTTTACCCCAATCACACCCTGTGCCCATTCCCAAACCAAGTACCAGCAGCAGCTGTGCTCCAGACTCCTCCATCTCAGGTACCACCGACTGCACTGGACGGGGCCCTCTGGGGGAAAAGGCTCCCCGGGGTAGAGAGACATCTCGGGGCCAGTCATCCTCTGGGGGCAGCCCAATCAAGCTATGGAGAACAGGAGAACTCTGGTCGGGGGTGGGGGGTGGCACGGGTTGTTCTTCTCCAGCCCCCATCTCCAGGGGCAGAGCCAGTTGCCATCCAGAGCTCAGCAGAAAGAAAAAGACTCAGGGAAATTTCTTCCCCCTTGCCAGTCACTTACTCAAAGATTTTGCCTAACTGGTCAGCTTCAGAATTTCCGCAGAAGAGAGGCCTAAAGTGAAAAGACACAGAAGAGAGGCCTAAGGTATTTTCAAAGATATGGTAGTAGAATGATTATTGATTAGTGGCTAAAAAACAAAGGGTATAGCGACTAAAGAGATAAGTTCCTAACTCCAGGACATTTCAGAGCTTCTGGTTATGGACAAGGTGGTCAGTAATACTCAAGTGAAAGAATGGGCAGGGTAGGGATGTGGTTTATGAATAAGAGATTTGGGATATTCAATATAGTTCAGGATACTTGAGTCCCATACTTTCGACGAAACATCTCAGCGAAGATACAGCCAACACTCCACAAGTCCACAGGTGTTGCATACGTAGACTGCAGAAGAACTTCTGGAGCACGGTACCAGAGTGTAACAACCTAAAAAGAATAAGAGCGGAAAAGAGCCCTACGGGTTCCCATAAAGCACAAACTGCTTAACTGAAGTCACAAAGCACATACGTTCTCAACTGTTACGTGCAATTGCTCTCCTACCCCCAACCAGAACCCATTTTGACTATCAGCTTTCTACTGACCACAGGTGTAAGTGCCATCTGGTAGCTGTAGATTCTGGCCAGGCCAAAGTCAGCCAGCTTGACTGTCCCACCACTTGTCACCAGAATGTTCTCTGGCTTTAGGTCCCGGTGAACAATGCAGTTGGCATGAAGGAAATCTAGGCCTCTTAGAAACTGGCGCATCAGATCCTGGTTTGGAAGGAGGGGGTATAGAACTGGAGACTAGGCACCATACCTGAAATCACAACAGCTTCTACTACAAAGGTCCCAATGTACCACCTCTCAGTGTCTGCCCACCCCACTCACCTTGATGGTCTCCACTGGCAAGCCTGGTGGGGGTGCCTTATCCAGATACGTCCTTAGGTCTTGGTCCACATGCTCAAACACCAGGGTCACTTTGGTTTCCCGGTCAGTTCGGGCTGTGGCACAGACATCCATCAGCCTAGCCAAAACAAATGGTCATTCTCTGATCAATCCCCTTTGGCCTCAATAAGGCCTCCCCTATTTCCTCTTTGTCCCCACTTCTCTCCTGACCACCGTTCCCCACCTATAGGTTATCTTTTCCCTTTTACTACCCACCCTCGACCCTCCATCTTCTCACCGGACAACATTGGGATGCTCAAAAGCCTCCAGCCGCCTCAGTAAAGCAACCTCACGAACTGTGCTGATGGGAAGGCCCCCTCCAGCACCTCCATTGGGAACTCTCACGCTCTTGAGGGCGACAAAGTGGCCACTGTGGGGATCACGGGCCTTGTACACCGTTCCATACGCACCAACACCAATCTCAGCCACTGGCTCATATCGAGGGGTAGCCATTCTCAGATCAAAGGAGACCCTACAATCACAGAGACTCCTATCACCGAAATTCCTTTCCAGAGTCCTGATAGTATGAGCCTGCAGCAACAAAGTTACTCCCACAAAAGACATTATAAAGACAACAACAGCATCCCGTCCCTTCCCCAATCTCCCATGAGGCCGGCCCGTCAGGTAACACAAAGACTCGTAACCCCAACCCCTTCAGTCACGTGAGGCCCTAGAATAAAAAATGCCTTTTCCTTTGGGACCGTCGCGCCTCGCACAAGGGAGATCCCACACGACACACCCCCTGCATCGAAGACCCTACACCTTCGTGACCTAAAATTACATCTCCGTACGACCACAAAGGACCAGATTACACCCTATCCCACTTCCCGCCCTCGAGCGACCCTTCCATAACTAGCTCGCGTAGGAAGCCATGGTGGACGAGAATGGTCTCCATTCCTGGGAAGGGGCTGCACTTACTTCACCCCGTGCCGGGAGCTGCGGGGGCGGCCCGTTATCGGGGCCCCGGAGACGGTTCCTGCGGCGCCATACACTTGAACTCTGTCGGGGGCAGCTGGACCCTATGGGCCAGACCATAGACACAGGCCGCAGGCTAGAGCGGCCCCCTTACCCCCCACCCTCACCATGTGACCAGCTGCCAAAGAGGCGCGCGGAAACCCGCGGGCGGGGGTAGGGGCGGGGCGAACGCCGGACGTTCGGGGAACGTGACCAACTACTCATGCGCAGAGGGGAAGGGGCGGAGGGGCGATGGCAGCCACGTGATCTGTTGCTATCACACGTGACCGCTTGACATTGCTCTGAGGAGCAGAGGTGTGGTTACGCGGCAGAGCACGTGACTAGCTGCCATTACCGAATGGGGGGTGGAGAAAATGAGGCAGGGTGGAGTCCAAGGAGGTGCCATGGCAACCTGGGCCACCCAGCTCTCAACTGTCCATTGCAGGCAGAGCCTGAGCGCTTCTCCGCTCTTACTACATGTCTCTTTCTCTATATGGGGGCGGGGAGGGTGTCAGGGGACGAGAGGTGGTGCTGTTGCCTTTCTGTTCCATTGCCATTGGAGAACATACACTCATTTGTGTCTTTGTTTCATTCACTCATTCATTCAATTATTTTCTGAGTGCTTGCTTCCTATGTGAATATGGGGTTGTTTGTGAGGTTTTTTTGGTATCTCTGTCACTAGCCCTTTGAAGTAGAGATAGGACTATCTGTAAAGATGTAGCGAACAGTGGGATCATATAAAATAGGGAGTAGACAATGACCATCTGAGGGCAAAATTAGGATTAAAGGACTGACGGAAGGCAGATTAATACAGTATTCCAACATGAGTGGCAAGGTAATGTCCTCCTCTCTTCCCAACTTCCACCCCTCCCTAAAAGATTAAAGCAGAGACCACCAGATGCCTCTGGCAGAGAAGTTCTCAATGAGTGGGAGACAGGAATACTTGACTTTTAAGGTTCTTTTCAGCACGAAGATGTTGTATGTGTACGATATATACATCATATATAAACAGATGGATATATATATAGGAGTGAGCATGTGCAAGAAAGTTACCACCACCCAGACCACCATGTTGTATGAGAATGACTTGTGGCCTTCTGCAAATCTTGTGACTCATTATTTGGGGTCATTGTGTTTGTTTGTTTGTTTGTTTTTTTCCCCAGTGCAAGCTTTCTTAGTCCTTACCTCTGCCCAGAACGAAAAACTTTCCCAAATGGCCTCTGCTCACAGACACCCAGGTAGAAGACAGACGGTTTCTCTGGTTTTCCTGGCTCCAACTTCTTTATTTCCCAACTTTTTGAGGGGATGGAAGGAAGGGAAGGAAGGGATCGGTATGTCATTTGTGAGAAATCGTCTAAAATCTGAAACCTTTTATTACTCTATTTATTAGTTCTTCCATCCTAACTTCTATTCTCCTTAACCATGTAGCTAAGGATGTAAGTGTTCCGGCTTGTGTTAACTATAAATCATGGTCTAGGGCAAAATGGAAGACATGTCAGTAGAGATTCCCCCTCTTTGCATTATGATAGTTACAGCTGTGAGCTCTTGCAGGTGAGGGCAGCTGGGACTAGTAAGAAAAACCTCAAGGTCTAAACTGGATAACTGGGCTTTTGAGGTGAATGTTTCATTGACTACCTTGCTAAGAGTGGTTGGTCTATAAACCTTCTGGAAAGCTAAGTGTCTCTGAGTGTATCAAACTTCCTTTCTACACCAGCAGAGTCCACTTCAGCCTCATCTTCCACAGAAGCCCACCACAGCTCACTGTCTTTAGAAGTCATCCTCTGTGTTGGCTTGGGTTCCAGCCCCTTTTTCTGATTCACTCATTCATCCATCCAAAACATTTGAGTACTTCATAAAAGCATTATTGCCCTTCATCACTTCGATTGAAGAGCCTTAGTTTGGCAGTCTGTCCCTGGTTCCATACCCTCCTTTCTCCTGTTAATTACTCTTTTACTAATTAACTTGTTTCCCAGTGTGTTTGACCCAATGGGTTCCCCTGGAATCCCTTTTCCCTCAGCGTTAGAAAGGGGAGAAGAGGGAGGTTGTAAGTAAAGCAGAAGTAATCTGATGGGGTAAAACTGGTTCTCAGGGTAAAGGCCCCCATAAAAGCAAAGAGCTAAGTGTGTGTGTGTGTGTTGTTCACTTTAGTGTAATGTGGTGAGGGCAAGAGAATACCAGGGAAGACTCATGCCTTTAGCACTCCTGTTTCCCTTGCTCACTTACCTTCCTCACACATTACAATCGCATACTTCCTTTCCCATTCAATCCGATTTCATTCTTTACACACGCATCTCTTCCACAGTCCCACACACCATGCACACTTCAGTCTTTTGTGTAAAAGTGTTTATTGCTTGAGTCCATCTCTTGTTCACTTACCTCTCTCATACCTCGGACCCCTGCATACCTCTTTCTTTGCACATTCCCATTTTGCACAAGCCTCTCCCTCTCTGATGCACCTGCGTCTTTGATCACTCACCTTCCATTCTCACTCGCTCACTCCCCTACCCCAGTTCACACCTATTCTTCTACCAGTGTGCACACTCCCCTTTCTTGGCCACTCCCCTCCCTCTATTCTCCTCAGGGCTCGCACACTCGCCCCCGCCTCTGGGGACACCTGCTAGTGCGGGGCAGGGCGGGGATGCGCAGCCGCGGCCACTTCTCCTCCCTTCCCCCTCCCCGCCCCGCCCCTCCCT